GTTAACTTTGGAAGGTTCGCAGCCGAGTACCCACGGATCATATGGTAAGAGCACCGGCCATATTAACCCTTTCCACTCATTTTTACACAACTTGGTAGCTAATTAAAAAGAAATGTTTACTGTCCTATAGACTGATGTTAATGCGATTTTGTTATTGCTGCCGTCGCTGCTGAAGGGCAAGGTGTAGGCTTGTTGTTAATGTGTAACTAAGGGGGTGTTTGGAGGAAAGAGCCAGTGAAAAGATAAATCTTGTTCATTCGAAAACATCAAAATAGCTTCAACTAGTACTTCAATAAGATAAGGGTTGCTGGCGACTTTTTACTATTTTGCAAAGTTTTTCATATATTTAAAGCAGGTTAGTTTTGCTTTTCATTGCTCTTTTCGCTTTATGAGTTTGGGGCGGCAATAGGTGCAGCGCAAGGACATGAAAGTCGTCCGGTGGCCAGGGTAAAAGTTTTCAAACGTTTTTGTCTGTTGCCTAAAACTGCAGTCACGTGCTCTTGGTTAGAATGGTGCATGCATACATACTGCGCCCAGTGGACGGAGCGTAAAACAGAAATTTAAAGGGATGCATCAGTGAACGGCAACTTTCTGTCGTTATACCGTCTGCCGACGAAGAAAGCCTGTTACCTAAATTAAGTTGCCCTTGGACAATATAAATCAACCTGTAATTTGTGTCTACTGACGTCCTCTCAGTAGCGTGTTTCCTGTAATTAAGTTGGCAAGGAAGTTGCAGAGAGTCGTGACTTTGAAACCTCTTCCATTGCACGATTACGGAAGGGCCAATAGTACAGCCACATAAACATGCCTATAACACATCTTCAGGACAGCAGTAACAGGCCGATATCGCCTACGTTGTTTTAATTATAGCATTGAACTGGCAGACCGATTGCAAAAGGCTAGCGCAATCAGGTTATCGTAAAAACGGAAAGTATTTGTCGATATAAGATACCAATATTCCAGCTAAAAGTGACGTCTAGAGAAAGGACAGGCCAACAGTAACCGCGCGTGGTACAGGTATACTTGATCTAAATTCCCGGGAAAATAGGATTAGAATTAAAACATGCTTAGGGTTATGGTAAGGAATATTTAACCTCTCTGGAATTTAGCGCAAGTTCACCTGTTTGTTGAGGAGAACATTCCCTCAGTCCGCAGCGTCACCAGTATACCAGCGTAGCAGGACAGCGGGAACCCCGAGAAAATGGGATCTTATTATTACGTTAGACGTGAGCCACCTTAGACTGTCATGACCGGCTCATCGTAGAACGGCATTGAGTGAATGGGCTCCAGTACCCAAGGACTCAGCACTCACAGAGTACACAGCGGAAATGAGCTCAAACCTGGCTAAACAGCGATCTAGCAAACTGGTCACCCAAAGGATGGTTGTTGTTGTTGTACTAGCTTACTCCTTTAACCTAGTTTGCCAGCAATACATGTTATAAAATTTTTAAGAAAGATGAAG